TTGACTTCCTTCTTCAGACTTGGGGGCTGAGACGACTTTGATTTGAGGGCAGCGGATTCTGCAAAGCCGAGGGGAGAGCCCCAGTGTTGCCGGTATCAGGTAAGGCTTGAAATGAGGGCTAAGGGCAGCTCCAATCACAGAAAAGAGGGAACGCACCAGATAGGAGCCCCAAACCTTCCTTGGCGAGACCATTACGGGGCTTTGAGAAGGCCTACGTCACACTGTATCATCATGGCCGAGGGCGCGGCAGTTGAGGGTGCACGGAGTTGGCGTTAGGTGGGGGAGGGGAGGGCTGGGTAGGGTTGGGTGGAGGAGGGGAGGGCGGGTTGGGTGGGGTTGGGGAGGGCGGGTTGGGTGGGGTTGGGTGGGGGAGGGGAGGGCGGGTTGGGTGGGTTTGGGTGGGGGAAGGGAGGGCGGGTTGGGTGGGGGAGGGGAGGGCGGGTTGGGTGGGGGAGGAGGGCGGGTTGGGTGGGGGAGGGGAGGGCTGGGTGGGGGAGGGGAGGGCGAGTTGGGTGGGGGAGGGGAGGGCGGGCTGGGTGGGAGAGGGGAGGGTTGGGTGGGGGAGGGGAAGGCGGGTTGGGTGGGGGAGGGGAGGGCGGGTTGAGTGGGGTTGGGTGGGGGAGGGGAGGGCGGGTTGGGTGGGGGAGGAAAGGGTTGGATGGGGGAGCGGCGGGCTGGGTGGGGGAGATGGTGTGGGCTTTGGTATCCGGTTGAGGTGAGGGTGAGATGGACCAGCAGTGATCATGAAAAGGCCCTTGAGTGAGGACACAGAGTTAGGGGACGACCCTCCCCGCACATTGGCGGCCTCCCTGAGGCTGGGCCCCTACCTAGGCTGCCTGATTTTGGCCTCCGGAGTCTGACGAATGTGCGGCTTTGGGCGGAGCTGGGCAATGTCAGGTCAGCAAGGAGGGAGCCTCAGGCCCTGTGGGAGCTCTGGGGGGAACCTCGGAAATTCTCAGGGTTCCACCAACCCGGGCGGAGGGTGTGACGGGTGTAGAGTCCCGTTTTTCAGCCCTGGTAGTCCTGCGCGTGCAGTGTCCCCTCGATTCTACTCTCAGAGAGACCAGGCCTCGAGTGGAAGGTGGAGCCCGAGGTCATAAAGGACAGTGGGCACCTGGCCATCCTGTCACCCCGTGTCCATCTGAGGAGCGCACACGAGGACTGGGACTACCCAGCCCGTGGCAGCGGCCTCCACGGCGGCCCTCCCTTGCTGTCAGCCCTGGATGGCCCAGGGAGGGGATGGCAGCCCGAGTTCACCCTTCCCTCGCTCCTCTGGGTCTCAGAGGGTGAAGAGTTTGTTCTGAACAGATTATTCAGCAGAAGGAGGCCTGCACCCTGGCAGGTGTCACTGAGTTATGTTGGAAGGGCTAACTCACCACACAAAAGGGTGTTTGTTCCACTGGTCCCAGGGAACCGCTAGGAGGTCCCAGCCTTTATAGTCAGGTGAGACAACCAATCACTCTGGGAAGGGAGGCCTTAGTGTGATGGGCAACCTGGGGACAAAAAGAGAAACCCCAGGCCATGCCAGACTTCCAAGTGAAGCCCCCAAGACAAGATCACCTCATTTCTTTCTTCTCAGTGACCCAACAAGAATAAGCCTTTTCCAACAGAGGCGGCTTTAGGTTTCAGAAGCTGGGGGTTGAGACTGACCAGTAGCTAAAGTAAAGACCTTGAGCAGAGCTGAGAAAACCATCCATCCCATAAGTCAGGAGCCAAAATAAGTCCGCTGAGCTCTGCTGTCATCTCTGGGCAGAGCTGCAAGGCTGAAATATCACCTTACATCCTGCTCTTTGAACTATGATTGAAGATGAGTGTTCTGTGGAAGTGATGTCTGATCTCAGTACCTATGATTAGTCATGGGAAGGACCCTAAGTGAGGCTGATGGGGACACCCACTCTAGAACAGAATGTTCTCAACAGAGGCCCGTCCTGCTGTCACTCTTGGGAAACTGGATGTGACAGCCCCTTAATTCATCCTCAGTGGTCACAGGGACAAAACTTCTTAGTGTGTGAGAGGGACATCAGGTTAGCAGAGGGGAGGAGTCTCATATACTGTCAAGTTTCAAGGTGTAGACCTTGTTTGGGCAAAGACCTGACGGTCCACTTCAGTAAAGATGGGACGCCATGGAACCTACGCTGCCCCTGTAGACACCCCCGGAAGGTTTGAGACAAGCATGACTAGTAGTCTTTTTCTTTTTTCTTTTTTTTGCCATTTACAATTTTAATTAAGTTGTACTTGTTTTCAATATCAAAATTTTTTTGTATTTCCTGATTATAAAAAAATGATACATGCTTATAAAAAACAATTTAAAAGTGTAGCTATGAATAATGTAGAAAGAGAACATTCTCCAAAATACCCATCTCCAAAGATAACTAGAATAAATACTTTGCTGTATATCCTTCCAAAATTTTCTCTATGCATATACATTGTTTTTATTTTTTTAATTAAATTTTTTTTTTTTTTATCCTCACCTGAGGACATTTTTCTATTTTTTGTTCAGGTAGAGTGGGAGGGGGAGAGAGGAAGAGAGAGAGAAACATTGACGTGAAAGGGACACCGAGTGGCCGCCACCGGCACGACCAACCAGGGCCGGGGACAAACTGCAACCGAGGTACACGCCCTTAGCGAGAACCGAACCCGGGTCTCTCGGGCCCGCAGGCCGACGCTCTAACCGCTGAGCCAAACCGGCCAGGGCTAATTAAAAATTTTTAAATTTAATTTGATTTTATATTTTCATCACTATTTATCCCCTCTATATTGTTTATAAATAAAATAAAAGAATGCATATTACAAGTCTTTTATTGAAGTATATGACATATGACATTATATTTTTTTATTGTAGTGAAAATTATGAAACAACCTAATTGTCCATCAGTAAGCAAATAGTAAATGTACTTGTACCACATCTGTATAGTGGAATACTTTGCAACTACTAAGAGGAAGAGGTAGATTTATACCCACCGACAACAACAGAGGTATATTGTTAAGTGAGAAAAGCAAGTTGTAGAACAATAAATAGTAATTCAAAGCTTAAGCATTTTCCTCACCATTTCACCTCATTTTTGTTACTTATATATGGGTGTATGTGCAATTGTCATATTAGCTTGTGAGAGGTCCAGGGTACTCATTCTCTGGGAAGTTTCTCTGCCGTTCAATGGGCCACTTCCTGTGGACCAGCTCTGGCCCACAGCAGTCTACAGTGAAATCCCAATTCCTAGCTATTTTTAGACTGGCCCTTAGTGGTTCTCAACTTTCCTAATGCTGGGACCCTTTAATACAGTTCCTCATGTTGTATGTGGGCGTATCTGCATGTGGGTGGACCCGCCTGGAGACAGATAGAGGATGGGTGTCTCGGTTCCTAAGACCATAGGGAATATGTTTTCTGATGGTCTTAGGCGACCCCTGTGAAAGGGTCATTCGACCCCCACAGGGGTCGCGACCCACAGGTTGAGAACTTCTGTGCAGTGAGCTCTCTCTACAAACCAGCTTAGGCCTGAGTCCCCTGGCAGATATTTTTCAACACTAACACCCTACATGGAACCTAATAGACATGCAAATTTGTCCCATCTGGTAGAAGCTGGATGACTTTCCTTACTCCCTCAGTGGAATAAAAAAAAAAAAAAAATTGGGCTTCTTTGGAGGTTCCTTTCAACATTCTTTATTCTGTATAAATTTGTATTATGCAACTTCTTTTTTTTTTTTGAACCGGTTAAAACATCAGCTTGTTTTTCTCATGAGTTAAATAAAATCCCTAGCTTGTGTTTACTGTTATATCTGTATGACAGTAAAGATTTTTCAATTTTTGAGAAGTAATTTTTAACAATGGTAAGAAAGTTCATATTGCTGCTATAACTAATCAACACAAACTTGGTGGCTTATAGAAGCAAAAGTCTGAAATGAGTCTCACAGGCTCATATCAAGATGTCTGCAGGGCTGGTGTTCTGGAGGCTCCAGGAGAGAATCGGTTACTTGTCATTTCCAGCTTCCAATGGCTGCTGGCATCCCCTGGCTTGTGGCAGCATCATTAATATCTGGTTCCATCATCACATTGCTCTCATTTCTCACTGTGAATCCCCCAGCATGCTTATTTATTTTAATTATGCTTCACATTCAGTATTTTGTGTATTAGTTTCAGGTGTAAAGCATAGCAGTTAGACAATCAGATACTTTATAGTGTTCCCACCCCCTGAAATTTATTGTACCCACCTGGCACCATACATAGATATTGGAATATTATTGACTCTTTTTCCTATGCTGTACTTTGCAACCCCATGACCATTTCTAACTACCAATCTCTACTTCTCAATTTCTTCACCTTTTCACCCTGTTCCCAAACCCCCTTCCCCACTGGTAACCATCAGTCCTTTACTTGTACCTGTAAGTCTGTTTCTGTTTTGTTTGTTTGTGTGGATGGCTGGTAGTCTTAACACCTTACTTCACACACTGGGGTCTGGGGAGATGATAGTTTAGGTCTGAAGGGGCCAGGTTGAGATCAGCAGTGGACAGAGTGAATAGGCAGTGCAGGATTCCTTAGGGAGACACAGAGTGAGGACTGAAAGGAGATGTGTCTTGGTTTTAGGGGGCAACATATTTAGCATGGGGGAGATGACACTGGCCCTATGGAATACCTCGGTATTGAACCTGAGTGAGGACTGAAGGAACTATACTCCTTAGAACACAAATGGCTCTACAGAGCACAGTCAAACCTTCCTGATGTCATCCCTGAGAATTCTCAGCCTCGCTTGACCAGCTGCGCCCTGAGGAGCATTGAATGTTTCTTTCATGTCCCTGGGGGATACAGCAACCAGGAGTTCAGGTGATCTGTGAGGTCCTATAGCACTGTTGTCAGCAGAGGTCCATTGGAGGCAGCTTTTATCAGAGCCACCACAATTGAAGTTTAGCAGCCTTGGCCACTCACATCTTCCTTCTTTCCCTCAGACAGTGATTTCCCACTGCATTCCTGTTGAAACTCCTGATTACTGTCATCTCCAAGAGTCGTCATGTCTTTTCATCAGAAAAATCTACAATGTTTACCTGATCAACCCCTTCAGACCCTCAGTGAAACCCAGGGCCTGGAGGCTGAACAGGAATCTAAGGCTCTGGAGGAGACATGTCTCTTCTCCCATCCTTCAATGCCTGGCAGTTCGAAGGAGGCTCCTGATGCTGGTATCCCCAGTTCCTCTGAGAGTCCTCAGAGTTTCTGCCCCACCTCAGTTGTCACCACAGTCAATTTATCAAGTGAATCTGCTGAGAGCTGCAGTAGCCAAGAGGAGGAGAGTAGCACCTCAGAGTCAGATCTAGACCCCATGGATATATCCACAATTGCTATAGATGAAAATGTGGCTACGTTGGTGAATTTTCTGCTGTTCAAGTATCAAATGAAAGAGCCAGTAACCAAAGCTGATATATTGATGATTATCAGCAATGAGTGCGAAGACCACTTCATTGAGATCTTCCTGAAAGCCTCTGTACGCATGGAGATAATCTTTGGCCTTGATGTGAAGGAAGTGGATCCCACCAACAACTGCTATGCCGTCCTCATCAAACTGGGCCTCACCTATGATGGGATGCTGCATGGTGAAATTGGCGTGCCTAAGACTGGCCTCCTGATAGTTATCCTGGGTGCGATCTTCATGAAAGGCAACCGTGCCACCGAAGAAGAAATCTGGGGAGTTCTGAGTGTGATGGGTTTATATCCTGGGAAGAAGCACTATATCTTTGGAGAGCCCAGAAAGCTCATCACCAAATATTTTGTGGAGGAGGAATACCTGATGTACCAGCAGGTGGCCAACAGTGATCCTGCAGAATATGAATTTCTGTGGGGCCCTAGAACCTACGCTGAAACCACCAAGATGCAAGTCCTAGAGTTTCTGGCCAAGGTTCATGGGACTGTCCCAAGTTCTTTCCCACCTCAGTATGAGGAGGCGTTGCAAGAAGAAGAAGAGAGAGCCAGAGCCAGTGCCAGTAATTTGGCCACTGCTGTTGACTTCCGTGGCCACTGCCAGTTCTAAGTCCAAACCTGGCAGCTCCTCCCACACCTAGGAAGTCAGGGATAGTTTCTTCTTGCTTTATTTGAAGAAGCAGTTCATGTTCATAGAATTTAGGTTGCAATGGGGCTGAAAGGAACATAGTATGTATGCCCATGTTTCTCTTTGATATGTGTAACTTGAGAACTTATTCTTTTATTTGTTGACATATGTATTACTCAAGTATTGGCTTTTTAGTATAGATTTAAGGAGCATCAAAATCTCCAAGTTTATGAATGATATTGGTCACATATTTAATGCTTTAAGGACGTTTCATAGTAAGAGCTTTTGCTGTTAAATTGTGAAACCACCCATATTATACTGTCACCTGGAATAAGATAACATCACATTGCTATAGGCATTTACTGGAAAAGTGAAAGAAATGTGTTTTAAGATACTTGGGTTTAAGAAATAGAGCTCAAGCAAAAGAGTGCCAATTTATTCCTTTCTTATACCTTTGATTTTTGTTTTATAATAGTACATGATAGATGCTTCAATTTGGTTATTTGTGTATGTATAAGAAATAAATCTCAATAAGTTATATCCTGTGCTCACTGTTTCTGTTATTCCCCAAACTTTATTGAACTTTTGCTGTTAGGAAATCACCATATTAGTCCTGGAATTTGTGGGATAAACAGGCCTAGGACCTGCCCTTAGAATTTTTACTTACAGACTCGGCAAGTCTATAATAATAACGTTGGTATATCTTCTAATATCTAGAGGACAAGTGAAAGAAGGAGCGGAGGTGTTTTACATGAGACTGTCAAGGATAAATGTCCTGGGCATGGAAGTTGGGCTTTTCAGAATGCTGGAATTCCTTCAATGAGTTAATTTTAAGTTAACGTTTTAGGGGAAGAAGAAACTGAGGGTTTGGTGATCAGGGATTAGACCTGTAGATGGTGGGTTGCAGAGCTGATACTTGAAACCTGGAGGGGAAAATTGTTCTTCACACTTAACTTTGGGGTCATGGTTTAAAAAGAGCAATCTCCACTGTGGTCTTGCCTCTGTGCCATTATACACAATCTTTTCTGCAGATCATCTTCAGGGAATTTTTGAGAGAGAACTGATTCTTTCCTTAGGTGAGATACCCAGAAACCACTTTGTTAGCATTTGTTGTCCTGGGCTAGGAAAGCCAGAGATGACTCTATTTAAGGATATTTTAAATAATGTTTTCAGTGTAATTTGGCATAGTCTAAGAAATACTTATAATTTTGATGAGTGTAAAATTAATTAAAATAGGGCTGGTTTAAATGGAACAGAAAATAAGGAATTTGTCCTTGTTAGAAGTTCTAGGAATTTGGAGTTGCATCAGCTGGAAAAGAAATTTCCTTCCCCATTATTAGAGAACACAACCTCAGAGTGTATATATTTACTGTGGTTTACTTGCTAAGCAATATTTTGGTAGCTCCTGTAGTACTTCATGTTCTTTGAGACATACTGGATTTTACTTAATTTTTTTTTTTTATTGATTTTAGAGAGAGGGGAACGGAGAGAAAGAGAGAGAGAAACATCGATGAGCGAGAACATCAATTGGCTGCCTACTGCATGTCCCACGCTGGGGATTGGGCCCACAACGTGGGCATGTGCCCTGACTGGGAATTGAACGGGTGACCTCCTGGTGCGTGGGTAGCCACTAAACCACTGAGCCACACCGGCTGGGCCATACTGGATTTTTAAAAATCACCTAGGTGAGGGTGATAGGGTCAGTAGTCAAAATTATTGCAGTAAAATCTGCCTCTCTTTAAAGACCTAAGGTGTGCCAGGAACTGTGCCCGTTGCTTTACATACATTACACTCTTTCCAACAGTAAATTATGACAGGGCTTATCAGACTCACTCCTCAGATGAAGAGCCTAAGAGTCACAAAACTTGGGAATGTGCCTGAGTTCACAGGTCTGGTACGTGACAGAGTTGAGGTTAGACTTCTGGTCTGAATTCTAGACCTCACTCTATTCCACTCCTCCAGCCTGAGGTCCACCTTCTGTCTCTTGATCCATTTCTCACTATTCCATAATGTCTCTTGGGATAAAAAAGGATCTCAAATCCAAAGTGCTAAAAGCACACATAAAGAAGAAGGGTAAAAATGATAATCAGATACAATTTGGGCATTGTCTATGGGCTTTATTTACTAAGGATTTTGCTGTCCTTAACCCCAGAGAGCTGACTTTGCCCAGGGGCTGGCATTTTTGTCCAGTTTCAGCTATTTTGTGTGTAGAGGTTCAGAATGTCACTCAGAATATTCCACTTTGGCATATTGAGTATTATGAATTAAAAACACTTGAGAAACAATTGCTGCAGAAATGACAAAGCTGATAGTGCATATATTCTTAGTGCAAAAATTAAAAAAATACAGATCACAATCTTCACCTTTATAATATTCCTTCATAATTCAACCACATTCCCAGAGATAGCCACAATTTACATCTAAAATAGTATTTTAAGGCTAATTCTAGCCTTTTTCATATGTAGATGTATTATAAAAAAATATATTGTGATTTGAAAACATAATGGGTAGTAATATACATATTCTGCCATGTCTTTTCCACTTATAATGCATGCAGAATCTTTCTATGACAACACAGATATACTTCACTTTGGTAACTGCTCCTATAGCATGTATGTGCCATAATTAATTTAACCATCTTCTTCTGATGGGCACATAATTTGTTTCCCATTTGTTGCTATGACTTATAAAATGGAAATATTTTTAACATGACTTACTAGCCTAAAGTCTGTTGTTCATCACGACAGCAAGGTAGAAATTGGGTTAAAGTGGAGAGTGTGTGAAAATTGTAAATTTTTAGAAACATTGCCAAAATATTCCTCCAATTCATATTTTCAAAAAATAATGCATGCGAATACCAAAAACACTCACACATATATCATTTTAAAAATCCAAAGTTCTCAGTTTGAGAAGCAAAGATTTGGTCAAAATGACCAGTTGACAGGGAATGGGACCCGATAGGACACTTACACTTAGTGAGGGATAAGGATTTGGGGAAAGAGTAATGTCTAGGATCCATGAGAGAGACCACTTATAAATCCAAGTACAGAGAACCAAGAACAGGCTGGTAGTCAAACTTCTGAATCCAGAGTTCAGTATAGAATGGAGAAAGGACCAGAAGAAATGAAAGTGGGGAATCTGGATGGTGAGTCCAGGACAACTCACATGAACAGGCTTGGAAAATCTCTGAATCACCACTAACAGCTAGAACTTGTATGGTTATCTGAGTGAGGAGATCTACTTCAAAGCCATCATCCCACAGAATTCCCCTACCTACTGTTAGGCCAAATATAGCTTGATTCTGGGGAAGCTACATGTCTTGACAACTCTGGTAGTCCTTTTCCAGTGTATCAGGGCTGGGATCTGTCTTGATTCCTGCTGGCAATGGGTATTTTGTCCTCCATGTACACTGGGATCTCTCCACTGAGTTCTGGGCTACATGAATATTAAAGAGTGATGACAAAGAGTTGAGACAGGCCAGAAGTACCAATGAGCAATGGAAGATGGCATGCAACTGCAAGGAGGAGGAAATATGAAGAGGGATACCCTAGTACTCATTTCCTCAGTTGATGTTCAGATAGAGGGTTAAATGTGGACATGTCTTAAAAAATAATGTAGATGGTGTCCCCAACACAGACTGCTTCTCATGTTTTCTGAGTTTATGGCACACCAGAGAGTGGGTATCTTCTGACTATGAGCACCGTTCTACTTCCTGGGGGAGAGGGTTAAGCAAAGGTGCAGAGATGGGCAGATTTGATTCAGAACCTGTGGAAATTGTACTCTCTTCCTTTTTGAACTGACTGGGGATAATGGGGATGTGGAGTCCAATGCAGGAAGTATCATATACCGTCCTGTTATGAGCATCCCCAACTCCAAGACTGTTTCAACCTGAAGACATCACAGGCTACCCAAACAACTATAAATATTATTTATTATGGGGCAAAATTATTTCTTCTTTTAATTAATTACTTTATTTTTAGTGCTCATTAAGATATCAGATCGTTTTAATTTTCATATTTATTTGCAATATGATTTAAGCTAATTCCATTGTTAGGAAGGAGATCATAGTACATTCGATGTGAACCATTATTAGTTGATAGCCCTGGAACTCCCATAACAAGCCCTGAGAACTTAAGGAAGGAAATAAGTCTAATTATGGCTAATGACACAAAGACATTGAACACATCTGTTCCACTAAACTAGTATTTCATGGAGCAGTTGTGAGGGATAGATGGGGCGAAGGGAAACTGTTCAAGAGAAGGAGGGAAAAAAATGGAGTCTCTATTTCTCTTTTGCAAGAGAGATGTTTTTATTTTAACTGCTAGGATTCTGTGTAACTTTTGTTTAAAAAAATACAACAGTTCAATTTTTAGAAAGACAATATGAGAAAACCACTGAGTAACATGGTCACTGTGTTTTTCTGAGGCCAATAAATTATGTCTCCATTAGTGGCACATACTTACAGAAATACTTTTTTCAATTATAATTGCTACTTTTTGAGATTTTTTTCCTAAATGGCAAGAGGTTAAAAGGATTGGCAAGAATGACACGCTATGACTTAGGCACTGTCATTTCATGGTGTTGGTTCACAAGGGCCAACTGTGCCGAACATCTCAGTTAGCAATTTCCCAGTTTTTTTTTAAATGGAATTTAAAGTCAAACGTTGTTATAATTGATGCTCTACATTATGTTTTTAATTTTTAATTTTTCCTTCAAAGAAACTTATCCTACATTTGTAAAAAAATATATATCTGTAAAATCTCATTTACAGTCTTAAAGTTTGAACATTATATCTAGTAAAAAGGTAAATGAGGAAAGTGCTTTAATTTTTAACATCACCATTAAAATTTAAGTTTAAACATTTTCTAGCATGAATATTACTTTTTAAATGATACAACTATATAGATAGCAATGGAGAAATTGTAATAACTGTAGTAACACTTAATTTCTTAATTAGATTAGTCTTCTCCAGTCACCCCTAG